CGAAACCGCCAGCCCGGCTTGCAGGCCCCTCCACGCTCGTCAGTTGGGCCCCTCACGTAGCCAGAGCTTCCGACGGCAACGGGGCTTGTGATGGCCACCAGGCCAGAGCGCCGGGCCCGCTCCATGGAGGGTGGAGCTCTGGGTCCCAGGCCCTGGGCTGCAAGGTCTTGGCCCCACTGCTCCGGCCGTTCCTGGGCAGGTGGGCAGGTAGGGCCATTCCTGGGCAGGGAGGGCAAGTGCCGCTGGTGGGCAGCGGGGAGGGCGAGTCCCTGTCCCAGCACCTGAGGACACCCTCGCTGGGGAGAAAGCGCCGGCGTGTCCTTGGCTGTGCAGTGCTGACCCGGAGCCCCGACTCTTCTCTACAGACTATTGGATGGAAATATGAGAGGAGCCCCACACCCCACGAGATGTGGCCTTGGGGGGCGGTGGGGAGAACCTGAGGCCATGTCTGTGGCCACAGCTTCTCGAGCAGCAGCAGGCAGCTGTCTCGGGTGGGGTGGGGTGGGGTGGGGTGGGGTTGGGCGGGCTCAGCCCCGTGCGAATGCCCCGTCTCCCGCGTGCTCCTTTGTGGGGTGCGGGTGGTGTGTTCCTGAGTTTAACTCACATGTAGTTGACTTTTTAAGGAATTGTAAAATACGTGCAAGTTCTTCTTTAAAAGGAGTTCTCGCTTGAACTTCCTGAAATAATGAGTTGAATTCTAACTCGGCTCAAGGTCCCGCCTGGCCTTGGCGAAGTGACACGAACCTGCTTCACGTTAGGCCTCCTCCTTCCAGAGCGTCAGGGGGAGCGTGTCAGTGGGGTCGTGGGAGTAAAGGCGGCGACTGCGCTTTTCCTGACCCCGTTCTGCCTTTCAGATGACGGCCCCTCGTTGCCAACCAAACAGAACGAGGAGTTCCGGCCGTTCATTCGGAGGCTCCCAGAGTTTAAGTTTTGGTGAGTGAACCCCCAGCGCTGCTTGTCCGCGCGGCTGGTCAGTGAGCCTGGGAACACACCGGATTGGTTCGCGTTAGCCAGCAAGTTGGACTTTTCAGAGAAATGAGTGTTGTCCTCCTTTGTTTGGAACATTTGTTCCCCCCCAGCAGGAGCGCCGTGCTTGTGGGCGTGGCTGGGCCCAGGGCCCTGGGGGACCGCTGCCCAGTGGCCTCTCCCAGTTGCTGGTTGAGGCCAAAGCTCTTTGAAACGAGCAAAGAGGTTGCTTTTGGGCAGAGTACGTTGCAGACTTGCCCCCCAAAGGGTGGGCTGCATAACAGTCTCTGTCCTGCTCCACGCACGGCACCCCTTCTGGTGGAGGCAGCTGGACCGGCTCCTGTCCGTTCAGGTGTCCTACGCACTTGGGGCTGGGCCGCCTGGGACCGGTGCTGGGGTGGCTGCGCCCTGGGAAGTGCTGTGCTCTGGGACGAGGCTGGCTGGTACCCAGATCCCCTAGAGGCGGTGACATCTGCGTGAGGCGGTGACGGGAGGGTGACAGGACAGGTAACTCCACTCTCGGGGGCATGGGGGCTCTGTGCCCTCTCTGTCCTGTATTTGTTGGATCAAAGCCCTGAAGGAGTGAGCCACCACATCCTTGCTCTGTGTTCTGGGCGTGTGGGGGACTGAGCATGACATGCTGGGGGCGGGGGCGCCTGGGAGCCCCGAGGAAGCTGGCCTTTGCTCTGTAGGAAGGGGAGCCCAGGAGGAGGTTCAGTGGGGCCGTGGCCGGGCTGCACGGTGGAGCCCTGGGAGCTGCCTGGCCCTCGTGGTCCCTGGGGAGCGGCGTCGGCACCCTCACTGCGGTCAGACTGGGAGGCCGAGGACACAGCTGCGTGCGGCCCGTGTGCTGCGCTCACCTTCCCTCCTCCCGCCAGGCACTCGGCCACCAAGGGCATCCTGGTGGCCATGGTCTGCACCTTCTTCGAGGCGTTCAACGTGCCGGTGTTCTGGCCCATCCTGGTCATGTACTTCATCATGCTCTTCTGCATCACCATGAAGAGGCAGATCAAGGTACCCCCGGGGGCGCCGAGCCCAGAAAGGCGGTGCCGGCTGCGCGGCCACAGCACGTGGGGAGGGCAGGCGCCCCGTGGGACCTGCCTCGTCTGCAGGAGCAGCCACGGCGCGTGGGGAGGGCAGGTGCCCCGTGGAACCTGCCTCGTCTGCAGGAGCGGCAGGAAGCTCTGCAGGCCGGGGGCGGGACGCGGGCTCGCTCCCCTCTGCCAGCGGTTCTGGGCCACGGCCGGTGTTGGGAACTGGCCTGGGCCGTCAGCCCTGGGGGCTGGGTAGGAAAGGCCCTGGGTGTGCCCTCCTCCTGGGCATGGCGTCCTGTGGGTCAGAGCCGGGACCTGCCGGACGGTGCAGGGGTTCTGCACACTCTACCCTGAAACAGGCCTGGGCCGACCCACTGCCCACCTCACTGATGTCGGGGCGCCTCCCATCCCATCCCATCCCGGCCGGCCTGCTCTCGGGACCTTTCCCAGACACACCCCCCCCCCCCCCCCGCTCCCTAGCCCCGTGACGCCTGGGATGGGAGCTTATCGCCGACGTGTCTGTCTGTCTGTCCCCAGCACATGATCAAGTACCGGTACATCCCGTTCACGCACGGCAAGAGGACGTACAAGGGGAAGGAGGACGCGGGCAAGACGTTTGCGAGTTAGACGGCGCCCGGCCGCCCTCGAGCCCCCGGCGGCCTGGGCCGTTGTAACCGCCTCTGTCTTCACGTAAAGTAGCTGGTGGCGAGGGAGTCGGATTTTCTTTGTAAAAAGGAGCTTCAATTATTTGTAACGGAAATAACAGGTTCTCGAGGAGACTGACACTGAGCCGGAATTGCATTGATTCATTACAGTGACACCAGGTGTTTAAATGGACAGAATGAGTCCGTCAGGCTGGGCAGCCGGTCGAGGGGGCTGGGGGCGAAGGACCCTCGGAGGCGGCCGTGGCCAGGCCCAGCGGGAGCAGGCGCCGCGGAGCCTGCGGCGGAGCAGCTGCGTTCACGAGGTTGCACGAACGCTGGGCCCCGGCCGCTTCCCAGCCTCGCCTCGCAGAGGTGGTCCCACCGGCCTCATGACTGGAAGCTCTGTTCCTAGCCACGTGATTGCTTTTGGGGCCTGGAATTATAAATATATATTATATTTTAATTGTTTGAGATTACTTTGACCTATTTCTTTCATACGTGAAGAGTTGCTGAATGTGAATGTTCCCCTGCGGCAGCCCTCCCAGCAGCGAGCGGAGGCCCGGTTCTGTGGGTCCGGCCGGCTCCCTGCTAGGATCAGCTGGGACCTGCATGCCGACGTTCCGATGTGATGGAAACACTCGTGACCCTTTACTCAGTGACTTTTTAATTCAAACTTTATTAAAGACGGTGTGCCCTTCTCATGGAGTCTTTCTGCCCAGGCGCAGGGTGGGGCGGGCGCGGGGCTGGGCACGAGCGAGGCAGGGCTGGGGCGGGCGCGGAGCTGGGCACCGTCCTTTCTCACGGTCTGGGCTTGAGCTGCTCCTGCTTTTTAAAAACCCCCCAAGGATATGTGTGTATTCATTTGATTTTAGAGAGAGGAGGGGGCAGAAATACATGGATGTCAGAGGGACAGTTGTGGGCTGCCTCCTGTATGTGCCCCCTCCCCCCCCATCGAACCCGTGGGCTGCCTCCTGTATGTGCCCCCTCCCCCCCCATCGAACCCACAGCCCTTTGGTGCCCAGGATGGGGCCAGTTCAGACTCTGCACCTGCCGATGTCGGACTTCACACAAGATGCTGCCCGAGCAGCCCTTCTCCTGCCCGGGCTCCTGCCTCTGCCTCACCCTTCACACCGTCGCCCTCGTAAGCGCTCAGGCCCGGTGCGGCGGGAAGCTGCGTGCTTGGCTGGGTGTAAGTCAAGGATTTCGGGGCTGGTGGCGGCCTGCCCTGGGCCCGTCTGGAGGTCTGCTGCTCAGGCTGGTCCTGTCAGTGGCCCGTGACCTTCACTCCCACGGAGAACAGCGTCTCTGTTGCTGGACAACTCAGTCTAGGGGGCGGCCTGCGCGGCCTTGGCCCAGGCCATCTGCACTGCAGCAGGGGTGCCACGCAGACCAAGGGCCTGGCCCGGGCGGGTGGCCCCAGCCTATGGCCTACTTCTGTGGAATTCGTTTCTTAAGGGACGCACGGCGAAGTTCTGTCTCTGGCACAAGTTAAATGGTTTTAAAACCTGGAAAATATGACATGTGGCAGGAAGTAGCTGGACATGGGTGATGGCTGTCCCAGCGCAGGCCTCTGGGGGGGGGGGGGGGTCCTGTGGCCTCGGGGTTAGGAAACTCGGGAAAGCGGGCTGCCCAGCAGGAGCCCCGGGCGGGGGGGCCCTCAGAGTCTGTAGGGACCAGGACAGACCTGTGTCCTAAATGGGGAACAGACTCAACATGTGAATTAAGGCTGCTTTGGCTCAGCAGTTAGAGCTTCAGCCCACAGACTGGATGGTCATGGGTTCGAGTCTGGTCAGAGGCACGTACTTCGGTTGCAGGTTTGATCTCGGGCCCAGGTTGGGGCGCAGGTGAGAGGCAACCAGTCCGTGTGTCATGTCCATGTGTCTGTCTCTCCCTTCCCTTCCTCTCTAACCATCAGCGGGGAATCCTCAGGTGAGGAGAGGCACCTGCTGGGCAGGGTGTTGGCAGGCGCCCTGGCCTCCACGCCTGTGAGTGGCTGTGCCTGGCCGCTCCGCAGCGGCTGTGGTGGGGGCAGGGTTAGTAGGTGGGGGGGGCTGGCGGGCTGCACTTGCCCACTCGGGCCACATCCTCTCGCCCACCCGATGTCAGCTTGTCTTCTCATCACAGGAGGGACCGGTGTGTCCTCAGCTCTGCGGTCTGGGGAAGGGAGGGCCTAGGACCTGGTCCCAGGGAGTGAGTCCCTTTGGAGCCACCGCCTGGCACTGCGGGCGAGGGGGGTGCCACGGGGCCGGCGGGAACTGAGCTGAGCGGAGCCCCTGCCCGAACCTAGCCGGGAGCCTGGGACCAGCCGCCCAGCTTGTCCTCCTGAGCTGCCGGCACAGCATCTCGTGACAAAAAATACAAAATCAGAGGATTTTACGGTTTCTGTGCAAGTTCGTCAGAATCCATTATGTCTCTCCTGACAGGCGGCTGCCGGTGGCTCCATCCGTCCGTCCTGTCACCGGAAGTGCCGCAGGTAGACCAGCTTCTGGGGCGGGAACCTCTCCCGGCACAGGGGACACTCCGTCTGGGGGGAGGGAGAGGTCACATGGGCTGTGCCCGCCCCACCGGCCCCTCCATCAACGTAACACAAAACAGTTTGCATGTCTTCGAAGCCGCAGCCTGAAAAGGCCCCTCACCCGGCGCTGGGAAGAGCAGGGAACTGAGCAGAGGCCCGCCGGCAAGACGGCCAGCCTGGCACGGTGACTGACGGGGGTTGAGATGCCCATGGGGCTGCCTGTGCCCATCGCCCGTCCCGTTTCCTGAAGCCGGGCGGTCCCACCCCCAAGGGCCACCTGGGTGAGACCAGGTCAGCCTCCCTCCAGCCCTGCAAGGCCGGCCGCTCGCCTGCCAGGCACCCACGGGGCAGCCGAGGGGTGAGCAGTGAGCATCACGCCCCGTTCACCTCCTCACCGGGTGGCCCCCCCACTCCCCTCAGCCCCGCCCCGGAGACGCTGGGTTCGGTGAGCTCGCCATGAAGGGGTGGGGCCCGGGACCGGGCCTCCTGGGTCAGATGGAGGCGAGAGGCGCAGTGCCCCCTGGCCCTGAGGTCTCCAAGGCCAGGGCAGGGCTGTCCCGAGCTCCCACACGGCCGCCATGCTGGGCGCCTGTCTGGCTGGAGGGCAGGGTCTGGAATGTGTGACCAGGAGCCTCCCAGGAAGGGACACCCTCCCAGGAGCGATGAGCTCGGATGCTTCTGGCAAAGTGTCCACAGGCAGTTGTGGTGCCTGGACTCCTGACCGACCCCCTACCTGCTCACCTGGGGCTTTTTTTTTTTTACTGACTTTTTTTTTTTTTAAATATATTTTATTGATTTTTTACAGAGAGAAAGGGAGAGAGATAGAGAGTTAGAAACATCGATGAGAGAGAAACATCGATCAGCTGCCTACTGCACATCTCCTACTGGGGATGTGCCCGCAACCCAGGTACATGCCCTTGACCGGAATCGAACCTGGGACCTTTCAGTCCGCAGGCCGACGCTCTATCCACTGAGCCAAACCGGTTTCAGCTCACCTGGGGCTTTTAAAGACACCCCCCTCCCTCGTTTCAGGGCGGCCCTGGCGGCCCCCCGGGACCTGCGCTTGAGGGCTGCTGACCTTGGTGTCGCACCACTGGGTGATGCACTCCCAGCAGAACAGGTGGCCGCAGGGCGTGGCCGTCGAGTGCCTGCGCTCCTCCAGGCACAGGGTGCACAGCGAGGTCCGGGACACCGCTCTCTCCTCCGTGAGGCTTCTGCGGGGGGGTGGGAGGGTGCCCCCAATGAGAGAGAGACTGAACCTCAAAGTCTTTTGTTGAGCCCCCCCAGACCTGTGTGCC